TTTTTTCTTACTGTTTAATTTTACTTTTTAATTTTTTTCTTTTTTTATTTTTTTCTTTTTTTATTTTTTTCTTATCTTTTTTATTTTTTTCTTATCTTTTTTATTTTTTTCTTATCTTTTTTTATTTTTTTCTTACTTTTTAATTTTACTTTTTAATTTTTTTTTTTTTTCTTATCTTTTTATTTTTCTTAGTTTTTTATTTTTATTTTTATTTACATTTTTTTATTTTCATTTTTACTTTTATTTATTTATGTTTTTATTTATTTTTTAATTTTTTTTATTTATTTCATTTTTATTTTTAGTTACTTTGTTTTAATTCTTATTCATTTTTTATTTCTATTTTCTTTTGTTTTTATTTTATATTCTTCCTTTTTTATTTTCTCGGTTTAATCCATTTAATATTTTACTAAAGCTCATTTTTTTATAATTATTTTTAGTTCTATTTATTAATTTTTGTATTATTTTTTTAATTTTATTAATATTTTTATATTTATATTGATATTTTTTCATTTTTTTTATATTTTATTATTTTTTTTTAATATTTTATTATTTTTTTTTTAATATTTTATTATTTTTTTTGTATTATATTATTATTGATACAAATATTTTATTATTTTTTTAATATTTTGTTTTTATGAATATATTTTTATTTTTATTAATAAAATTATATATTTTTATCTTTTGTATTTTTTGTAATTTTTTAATTACAAAATTTTTTCTTTGATGTTTTTATTGTTATTGTTTTCATTTGTATTATTATATTGTTTTTATTATTTTATCGTTTTTAAAGTTTTTAATATTTTATCAGCTCTTATTATTTTTGTATTTTCTATTATTTTTTATTTTTTATCATTTTTTTATTTTTTATTATTTTATTTTAATTTTTTTCTTTTATTTTATATTACTTTTATATTTTCTATTATTTTTTATTATTTTTCATTTTTATTACTTTTTATTATTTTTCATTTTTATTATATTTTATTATTTTTAATTTTTATTATATTTTATTATTATTTATTTTATTATTATCTTTAATAGTTTTTATGTAATTTTTTCATAATTTTTTAACCTTATTTTTGTAATTTTCTTTTTTTATATTTTTAATTTTATCATTTTTATTAATAATTTTTTTTTCATTTTTACTTATTTTACTTTTTTTTATTTTATATTATTTTTTATGTTTAATTTTTTTTATTATATTTTATTTGTTATTATTTTTTAATAACTCATATATTAATAATTTTTTTTTTAATTTTTTCATTTTTACTTATTTTACTTTTTTTTTATTCTTTATTATTTTTTTTATATTTAATTTTTTTATTTTTTTATGTTTAATTTTTTTATTTTTTTATGCTTAATTTTTTATGTTAAATTTTTTTATTTTTTATTATTTTTTTTTATTATTTTTTAATAACTTTCATATTATTAATTTTTTTTTAATATGTCGCATGATTAGCCGTACGTACTACCATTCGGAGGCGCCTTAGAATAATCTGTAGATGCCACCATTTGTGGAAAAACATAAAGACACATATCTGGAACAGGACACAGGCAGAATCATCATTGGGAGCCACCAATGCAAACAACCTTTGACTGGTTGCCACACCGCGCAATACCCCTACCAACCAGCCATTTTCAGGCAAGGAAAAGCTAACTGAAGTGCCATAACCTGAATAATATCTTTCGGATTATTTTTCACTCATTGCTATGATTTTCGCTATTGCTGACATTTAACTTACAAAGGCAATAAGCAACAACAAGGCCAATAGTTTGTTGCAACATTTTTTCAAGGTAAACAAATTTCGTGCGCTGCTAACTATGTAAACAAGATGCTGTGAATAAAAAAAAAACGATGTGCAACTGTACATACTATGTGTGTACATATGTAAGTAGGCGAGTATATACATATGCACGTATGTTTATAGTTTTTACTACAGTTAGACTAAGCTTGTTAGCAAATATTCCAAATTCATAGACATTTTATGGTTTTTATTAATTTATTTTGATAGCGCATTTTTTTGTTTTCTTTTTTTTTTTTTTTTGTTCTTTTTCTCATACACTTTATTAGTCATTGTGCAGCTGTTCCATCAGCCATCAACTAAATTCTAACAAAATCTATTTCTCATTCATTAGCAAAGGCGGCTAAAGTTTTATTGAAATCATAAAAATTTGTTTATACATTTTTTTTGATGTACCCATATATATATACATGTACATGTATGTGTGTGCTAGTAATTGTTGAATATAATATTAAAATGTCTTGTTTATTTTTAAATATCCTAATGTAATTAATTGATTTAAGAAAAAATCTCAGAGCGACTACAATCTTGTGCTTTACTTTGCCCTCAATTTCTAAAAATAAGTGGAAAATTTTAGTCACATAATTGTAAAATGTGTCAATGAGTAAAAATGGTGTAGAAAATTACTTTTTATAGTATTTAAATTTTTTTAATTTGATTTTGAGCACAAGGATAACGCACATCTTATCCCTTTAAGTTTCTTAAGTTACTTTATTGTTGCTTTTACTTGCAGAGCAAAGTTTGTTCGGGCAAAAACGGATTTTTGAATAAGATGGTATAAAATTTTTCGAAAAAAAGAACTCTTTTTGCACTTTAAGAATAAGATTCATAACTCTTCCATGACTTCTATATCGGACTTTTATTTGTATTCTTCAAGTATTTCAGATATTTTTAATATAAGACCTTTGAAAGTCTTTCAAAAATCTTTAAACTTTCAGCTTTTAAATAATTCTGAAAAGTTCCAGTGCAGGCCAAAAACATTAATTTATATGATCATCTCTTCCTATCCTAATCAATTTCTCACACCCACGCCCACAAAATATCTCTCAGTTATTGCTTTTTTGTTCTTTATTTTATATTTTTGTAAGGCAAGTACATCGATAAAAACAGCCACTGGCTTATAATAAATACTCTTAACAAAGGTGAAAATTGTTTAAACTCTTGCCACAAGGCAGTGAGTGGCTGGGTGGTTCAAGAGATAACAGAGTGTACTCAAAAACACTCAATTCAAAATATGTTCTGATATACACCAATACATATATAGATATGTACATACCTAAATACATAGCTGAGAAAGCGCATAAATCTTTCAATTAACTCATTAAAATGATCTTATTATGCGGCGAGTATACTTTCTGTTTAGTTAACATTGGTAATACCTGTCGGTGGTTGGGGAGAGAGGTGAGCTACACGACGTAAGAGAGCGAATAAAGTGGAAATGCTTTGCATATATTTATTATGCATAAATATACATATAGACAATTTCAATGAAACTTGCAAAGAATCGAAATCTTGCATTATATACGGGTTAATGAACTTGAGTTGATTTCTAGTTCAAAATCATTAATTCCAGCCAATGTAATTTGCTCCGCATGTGAAGGAATTTTTCTTTTTTATTTCACATCTTATTTCTCACTCGGAGGAAATTGTGCGCAAATGTTTAAATTTTATTGTACTCAGCTTCATGCAAATTGATAATTTGATGAGAAACAAAAAAGTTAAAAAATGGAATGAAATAAATTAAATAAGCACCAAAATAAAAATAAAATCTAAAAAAAAATGGAAATAAAAGAAAATGCAATTGAAAAAATAGATTAAAGCGAATTAAAAAAAATTTAATTAAATAAAAAAAATTATGTTTAACATAATAAATTAAATTAAATGAGAATTCATTAATTAAATATAAAAATGTATAATATAATATAACAACAAAAAAATGAGGTAAAATAAAATTATATTATAGAAACTAAAACTAAAATAAGAAAGCCTAAAAAAATATATAATATAAAATAGTATAAAATAAAACAAAAACTAAATAACATAAAATTACTTAAGTTAAAATGAAATAAAATAAAATAATATAAAGTAAAAAAAAATATATATAAAAATATTAAAATAAAATAAATTAATTCGTTTGAATTTAATATAATAAATTGAAACACAGTAAAAAACTGAAATAAAAGAAAAAATTAAACTGAGTAAAGATAAAATGGAATAAAAATTTTAATTAAATAAAATCAAATAATGACAATACTTAAATAAAGTAAAATATTTAAAAATTAAATTTAATCAATTATTTAAAAAAGAAATTAAATTAAATTATAAAAAAAAATAAAGTAGAATAAATAAATAAATATAATAAAATTGAAATACAGTAAAAATCTAAAAATCATAAATCAAATAAAAAATAAAATCAAGTGAAAATAAAATAAAAATGTTAATTAAATTAAATATAATTTAAATCACTTCAATTCAAATTAAATAAAATTAAATAAATAATACAAAAAAAACTGCAAGTAAAATTAATTTAAAGTAAAATAAAAATTTCTGAAATAAAATAAAATCAAATACATAAAATAAATTAAATTCAATTAAAAACAAATATGAGAAAACAAAAAATTCAATCAAAATCAATAAAATAAAAATATAGAATAAAATAAAGAGCTAATATATAAAATATTTTAATAAATTTTAATTGAATAAAAACAAAATTAAATAAAGATATTAATTTAATTTAATAAAAATAGTATATAAAAAATAAATAACTATTTAAGCTAAAGTAAATATATATAAAATTAAATTAAATTAAGTTAAAAATATTTAATTAAATAAAATGTAGTAAAAAAATAAACTGAAACCGAATATAATTTTGAATGTTGGTGTAACAAAGGTTCGATCACATGATCCTCCGCTTATCACATTATTTCGCTACATATGTAAATATAAAGACTCTGCCGGCTCACATTGATTTTAATCGCTATGAATTTGAGCTCATAACAGAACCAGTGCTCGAAAACTATATTGCAATAAAGGAAGACCCGCTTTGACCCAGTAAGCTTGGACCGGTGGATATACATATGTTCGAATCCATTTTCTCACTCTTCGACTCAAGTGATTTTAAGGATTTCGGGTATGCATTTTGGGATTACGTTACTGTATTATTTATAATTTTTTCTTTTAAATCTTAAGAAATCCGCTCACCCTCACAATATCTGCAACATTTTGCTGGTGGTTCATCCGTATCAGCTATGACCCGCATGATCGCCACGAAGGCACCAACGAAAAAGCAGCCACAGTCGAACCGACGGCACTTAACGACGACGGATCACAGCCGGCTCAATGGCCGTGTCGCCAGCTGCATCTGTTGAAGCGATTACGTTTACAAACACGTTTTGTAGGTTATTTGTTTTAGAAAATAATACATATACATATATATGTAACGATTTTTTAATGAAAATGTAAACGAAAGCACTGGTTAACCAACTAATTAATTATGCACTTTTTTAGAATTTTTCTATATCTACTTCTCAATATTTACTATTTTTAACGATTTATTTAAACTTGTTTATTATATTTTAGTTGGCTTTTAATTTTCTTGCTAGATTTTATTTTTATTTTATTTTTTACGCACGATATCTGCGGTTCTGTGTTTATTATTTCATTTATTTGCAGAAATTAGTTATTTTTTTTTCTAACTGTAATTTTATTTTTATTTGTAAGGCCACTTTTGTTGTAGAAAAACTTTTCTATCCGCTTTTTCACAATTTTTTTACACCATAAACATTATCTGCACGACAATTAACGATCCGAATAACGATAATAATGTTGACTATGATTGCCAACCTTTGGAAAAAAATAATTTTGATAGTAACTTTTCGTTCTTAATGGAATGATTGTTGTATTTGATTTATCAAAATTTCGCATTTTTCTATATCAAGTATGAGGGGTAACGAGTTTTCCAAATCAATTCAACAGCTGTTTAGTGTTTGAAAACTGCATTGGAAACTTATTTGGTGACTGTGGCATCACTATTTATTGTTCTTAATGCACTCTAAAAGGAGACGCCTGTAGGTTTAGGTAGATTTTTTTGTTTTTCAGTAAATGATTTTAAAACAGATATATTTATTTTTCAACTATCCGCCAGTTTCGCAATTGTGTTTAAAAGTTTTTAATTAAAATTTAAGTTTGGGTTTTCGGAATTGGAAAATAATTTTTTTTGTTTTGATTTTTTTTTGTTTTTATTTCAATTAAATTTTCATTTTAGTTTTTCACTTTATTTTTCCATTATTTTCCCTTTTTTAATTATTTTTATTTATAATTTATATTTTTTTCTATTTATTATTTTTGTTTTTCTGTTTTTATTTTAATTTCTTTCCGAATTTGCTATTTTTATTTCTCTATATATTATTTTTATTATTCAATTGTTCTATTTGCATTTTTTATTATTTATATATTTTTATTGTATTTTTTGCTATTTATTATTTTTTTCTGTTTATTATTTTTTCTATTTATTACTGTTTTCTATTTCTTGTTTTTTGCTTTTTATTATTTTTATTGTTTATTATTTTTATTGTTTTTTCTATTTTTTTCTATCTATGGTTTTTTCTATTTATTACTTTTCTCTGTTTATAATTTTTTTCCGACTATTATTTTTTTCCAATTATTATTTTTTTTATTTTAAATTTTTTTTGTATTTATTATTATTATTTTTTAATTAATATTTTAGTCCTTTTAATTTTTTTAAATATTTTCTAGTCTTCTTTAGTTTTTTTACGGTTTACAATTTTTTTCTTTTTATGCAATAACATTTAATAAATCAAATTATTGAGATGTTGTTTTTTGGATATTTCGAATATTTCTTATTATTTCGTTATAAATTCGTTAAATTTGGTTTTTCGTTTTTTAAATTATGGAAATCAGTTTCTTTGTGCGATTTTTATAATTTTTATTGTTTTATAAAAATTAAATTCGTATCGTTTAGTGTCTTTCGTTTATAATTAGTTTCAGTTTTAATTGTTTTGAAATTGAACAATTAATCCAACACTTTTTCTTGAAAATTTTTCTTAATATTTTTTACTTCAAACTGCAACAGAATTCACACGATAAAAAAGCAATTTAGTTACAACGCACGCTCACTTGCACGAAATGAAAAAATCATACTAAATTTTAGTTTACTTTTATTTAGATATTTATTTTGAATAATTTTTTTGGAACAAAAACCCAAACTAAAAATCATAAAACAAAACTTCGTTCACATTTTTCTTTCCTCACTACACTTCAATACAATAAATTTCTTTAAAGTTCTTCACATCCCATTTAATTTTGGGCCACACACAAAATCTCAACTTTACACGCGTTGCTTTCTTCTTCTGTCCGAAATTTACGTTCTAACGTGAAACCTCCGCGGAGACCACTGACGTGATTTTCCAAATCAAAGATGCTTTTCGCATATGTTCATCAGCAGTGATCATCGAAAAAACGCTTTTCCTTTTCGAAAATGAAAAGCGGAAAGTAAAAGAAAATTCTATCATAAACAACCATACACCTTAAGAAGCTGGCAAAAGTGTGCTTTGAGGTGAGGAAAATCTCGAAGATACAACAGAATATCTGTATGTATGTATAATGCAAATAGAACGCGTGATATTCATAACGTTAGGATACGAGGGAGCGAGTTCGAGAAAAAGAGAGAGAGAAAGAAAAGAGAATAAGGGCGCGCATTCGTAAGGAGAAATACTTAAGATCGTGCTTTCAAGTAACGCACACGAAGACGACAAAAGTTGAATACGAAAATGCGTAAGCGAATTTTCGAAAATATATACCAAATACCCATACACGCGTCTGTATACTAAAACTTAAGTGCGAAGTGAAATACTAAAGCGAAACTAACGAAAGGTGCAAGAAAGTGTAAGAAGAAAATGTTGAATGAAAATTGAATATTCAAAAAAAAAACTAAACAAATTTTGAAAATATTGAGAACTTTTAAAGTTATCAATTAAGCATAGAAAAATCAATGAAAATTAAAGTATAAAATAAAATAAAAAAACTTTTTTTTTTTTCAAAAAGCAGATAAACTTCTTTAAAATTTTCGCACACTTTTTTTTTTTTTTTTCAAAAACAAAATTTTCGTAATCAACATGCGATTTTGGTCTGAACACGGCGAGAGCTAACATTTTATCGCTACAATCAGTTTTTATCCAAAATTTTCAGACGAAAATTCGAAAAAAGCAACAAACTGAGAGTATAGAGCATACGATCGAACACTCGAGTACGATCGAACACTCGAGTACTCGCAGCAATGCGCGCTCACGAAACGCATTCGTAATATTTTCAAAACTTTACACATATATATAGATATATATGTATGTGTGCTTATGCGACATTTTCGAAACCACTTTTGCTCCTCTACCTTAGGATTTCAAATACACATTTTCGTATGAGTGGCGCGCGTTTCGCTACAAAACGCAACATTCAGGAATTCGTTTTTTTTTTTCGCATACATACATATGTACAAAGCTATGTACATATAGCAGACATTTTCCCTCTTCTGCAGCTTTTTTAGATAAGAAAAGTTGCACTTTTCTCCGCTGAATTTTTGTTTTCTTAGAAAATTTGAGAGTGTATAATTTTGAAATTTCGAAGTTAGAAAATATGTATTTCGAAAATGTATATATATATTTTGTTTGCTTTTATATTTTGTTTGAAAAGCTTTCGCTGCCTTAATCTCTTTCTTCTTTATGCTTTCGAAAAAGTTTCCACCCGCCGCATGAGTCGATCTCGTTTGTATGTACTTACGTGTATGTAGTGTGTTTGTTTTTGCATTGATAAAGAAATGTATGTTTTACATAATCACTTCAGGGTTGATATGATTCTCAGTCAGTTTTTTATTTCTTCTTAATTAAGTTCTTCCACGTATGAGTAAATCCATAATCGGTCCTGGAATCCGACGTATAACAAACGAGCTCCAAAAATATATTCTGCATTCAAAACAGATTTAGTTTGGGTTGGTAATTATGCCCACCGATGTGGAAACTTCGATGGCTCGAGACCAGTGGTTGAAGCCATTATGCCCTGATGTTAGCCGTAAGGTTCAGTAGCAGACCTTGTTTTTCCTTTTCTTATGGAGTAACTCAACTTATGCCACGACGGTTTCCAGAGTGAGCGACGTGAACGCTACCATAGGAATTCAGTATTGTTTTGCCTTTGAATATGCGTGGATAGCACTAAATCCATTTATTTCCCCGATGAAACAAACCTTCCATTACCCGGCAATGATGTCTGCTTGAAGAACACCATAAACCGATGGCTTATATTCCTAATGGCGGCGAGAAGCTGACAAAACGTCTGCATCAGCTTCTGGGCTTGAGTGCTTGCCGAATGATAGCAAAGCTAGTTTGATTTGCCTAAGCCACAAAAAATCATATTCCATAATATGCGCCAATTGTCGTGGGAGTAACCTCCTCAATATCGCCTTTATGATCTTATGAACGCACTGATTAGACCTCTGAAGTCTGACTTAATTCAGGAGAAAGTTATATAGAAAATTATATACTAGTTGCTGATCTACAACACAGACGAGATCCAATGTTCTATGACTCCCTCAGACTGGATAAGAAAGCGAATATAAAGGGTATTTCCGCTGCTCTCTCTCTTCTGCCATCAAGCATTCAGATATCGCATACACCACTCGGCAAATTTCAATTTTCGAAAATTTATGTAATTTTTTTTTTTTAATTTTACAAAGGCATTAAGTTTCAATTCATCAACAGTGGCATCATTTTCAAATCCAGAAGGAAAAATAGACTTTTTGCAAGGAGCAGCAACAATTTTTTTAGATGGAGAATTCGCGAAATCAGGATTTCCCGACATATGAAGTGTAGTATCTAATGGAACTTCAGATGATCAATGCTCCTGAGGAATATGCAGTTTCTTAACCGCCGAGCAACCGGATATGGTCATCTTCGTCCATTTGTTACTGATGTTAGCCCAGACTTTTTGCTACCCAGTTGAGTGAGAATGCCGAATAAAAGCGAAGACGAGCTAGTATCCATTTATATATTAGTATACTGTGAGCTACTTTTGTAACGCTAAAGCAAAAACAAGTATCGGCTGAAATATTTGGTTTACAATAAATCTGGAGAGTTTCGTGTTCGAGAGAAATTGACTTTGATTGAATCTTAGAATCCTCTTTCTTATGAAAACTTCATACCCTTTTTCGAGCTCCGTGTTAAAATTGAACTGTCATACGGTTGCCAGTACAGCGGCGACCGGCATTTCCCTGGAGCCAAAGAAATTTCAAGCAGAACACACTAAATTTCGAGGACTCCCTACAGTACCATCAGTGGACAAGATTTCAACGCTCTTTAACGCTCAGTCGCTGAACTTATTTTCAATGTTTTTTCGTAGTTTGACGTAAGCACCTCTGCACATAGCAGATAATAAGCTCATGCTGAAATGTGCGACTTCCAGTATCGAATATTGTTTCAGAATAAGCTCCTCTTTAAATTCGGCGTTGCAGGTACAAGCGTAAGAGGTGCTTGACTGGTTATA